CTACTAAGTAACGTTAAGTAATCGGACAATCTGTTATATGTAAAGAAAGTGCTCGTTACTAATTTGTATACATTCATGAAAGGAATCAAAATCTGCTGGGGAGAGGGAGGGGGAGGAGGAGGGGGGTAACAAAAGTAAAAGCATTCGAGTCAATTTGATGCAATCGCAGCCAATTGCCGAGCCGTGGACGAAAGTAAAAGTGCAAAACACGCGCGTTCGCTGGGGTGGCTATTGATAAGGACGGTCAGGGACCTTTCCGATTGACATTGGCATTGCCAGGCAAATGGAATCGTGCTATTTTCTAAAAACAAATAAAAACAGACTCATTAAGCGATAATCGACACTTCAAGCAGCACTCAATGGGGGCAGCATTGATGTGGGTATACGAAACAAATATAAAAGTCAGATCTTTATCTGATGCTATCATATAAATAGCTATGGCTATATATACATATGTATATACGTACTGACGGGTGCTATAGTACGATATATATATAATACGTATACGTATACGTATATCTATATTTCTATGTGTGCCTCGCCTGATTGCCCAAATGGGCATATGTTCAAGTATCCCGGACGTGTTGCTTATCAATTATCAGCAGCAAGCCAAGTGGACTCTGGATGGAAATGGGGATTGGAATGGGAATGGTAATGGTAAGAGTCGGCGGAGGTGCTACACATAGCAAAGCTTGATTTCCAGGTAATACCTGCTATATATATATATATATAATCGATATATATATATATATATATATATATATATATATATATATATATATGTGTGTGTACACATATCATTTACAGGCAAGGAAATGCGCTGAACTTTGAGAATTAGAAAATTGCAGTGGAACAATTCAGTGGCAGCTAATGGCAGAAGGGCTACTTGACAAAGGATGCCCAACGATCCAATCAATACACACTTCCGACTACCTCGCCCGGCTAATGAATGTCGTCTATGGGCGTCTGCTGTCACAGGAAGGGGCAGAGACTGAAGACTGAACTCAAGCTAACCGGCTAGAACCGATTCCGGTTATGGTGCGTGCGCAGTGGAAAGTTTTTTGTTTTTTTTTTTTGTGGAAATTTGAGCTAAGCATTGCTGCGGGAGTCCAGAAGCTGCTGACTCGAGACGAGTCGAACAACAACTGCAAAATTTAAAAACAATAACAACAACGGCCACGAATGATAAGACAATTGACATTGATTCTGTTTTTTTCACAATATATTAAATACTAAATGTCAGTTCGAATTTAACCTCAAAATTTAACGCAACGAGAGCGAGAGCAAGAGCGAGAGCAAGGGCAAGAGTGTGCGAGTTTGAGAGAGTGAGCTAAGTAGCATATTTGGGTGTGTGTGTATGTGTGTGTGGGCGCTTTGACGGCGTGGGCAGCTCACAAATGTCAAACTCTCATGTTTAGTAGAAAGGACATTTGGTTAGCACCATGACGTATGAGGTAAGGTCGGATTGGGATTGTGTAATCGCTTCAGTTAGTTACACAAAATATACGCACATTTAGAAATACATACACAAACATATATAAATGCATAGAAATATAAAGATGTATTTATATTTACATGGCTTTTCATAGTCTGTATGTGTGTACGTGTATTTTGGGATATTTGCTTCAATTTTATATTCATCTAGTGCCGCGCTCCTGATGACGGGCCTTTGTTCCGTTGTACGGCCTGAGCAATGGATTGCCCTTGAGTTTGTCCTTTTCGAGCGCCGACGCATCAACGGCCGCTGCTTTGGCGGCAGCGACGCCGGCAGTGAAACTGTTATACGGCGCGCATGAAAACTGGTTTGTTCCATGTATGCCTATGTGTGCGTTCGTATAACACTACGCCTACTACAATATACAAATGCATGTACATGTGTATGCAAGTAGATATGTATATGTAAGCGTGCGCCGCGTGTAGGCGTGTGTGTAGGAGGCTCGTCACCGGCACTCGCAACCAGTGCTGCGCAATTTTTATCCGACTGGCTAGAAATTACTTCAATGGAAGGCGCTAGCATCCCTAACTGTATATTTATTTATATACAATCGATTAACGCAACGTATTGTAATGACGTAAATAGTTGCTCCCTTCATTTCTTAATTATCTGAAATGTATTTATGAACATGCATCACAATAATAATAATTGCCATCAGTTAATGAAATTACGCCAAGGATGAAGTTACAAATGTGCACACAAAAATGAAATCAACCGGAAATTAATAAAAAAGGACATATAAATATAATACGAAACAATTTCGCGGTCATCAGCATCCTTATCATTAATAAAAGCGTAAAAGCCTAATGAAATATAATAAATAATAAATAAAAGAAATTTAGAAGTATAATAAAACACAACTGCAGCCTAGATATTTATTTATTTAAAGACAATTAAATAACCTGTCTTCAATGAAAAAATATGGACGGCTTAAACATTTCGTATAACTGATAACATTCAAACTAAAACGAATATATTTTGTCGGATAAGGCTGCCAGATCATTGGAAAATTAATGACAATTAACTGGGATTATTCAGCACTGGTTTTGAGCAGCTATCGGACTATCGCATATCGGCCTGCCATCAGCTGTGCAGTTGAGTTGAAAACGCGAGGGCCGCCTTCTTATAAAACACAATGTCTTTTAGTAATTTATTAATGAAAAGCAGCATAAATGGCAGCTTGCGTAGCACACAGTCAATAGCGCTGCTGCTGTTAAATGTAAACACGCGACAGGGGCACACGCTGCGTGGCAAACCGCCCGGCGTTGCTCGCACCCTGGAACAGCGACTACAAGGTATGTGCAGTTGATGTAACCCAGCCTCAGCTGCAGCAGTTGACTGACTTTTCGCACTTATATTATGCTTAGACGACAACGTCACCGATCCGGAGATAGTGGCACGCATTAACATTGGCTTTCCGCAGCTAAAGCCATCGCGTTCGGCACAGCTAAAGGCACGCCTTGAACATCTCAAGGCACAGCGTTCCAGCAAGGAGCTCGAGCAACTGGCCCGTGACAATAAATGCAAGTAACTGCAAATCCTTTCAGCTACATGTATAATAAAGCTACTTACTTACAGTGCTTATTGATTTGGACAAGGTGCAGGATACATATGTGCAGACAACGGGCCAGCATGGTCTGCGTCTGCTGGCGGATCACTATGGCATTTTTGAGCATCTGTTTGGCAGCGCCTACTTTGTGCCGCGCGTGCCTTTAACCATACAATACGAGCTCAATGCCGATACCCTTAGTGCCGTATACAATGGCAATGTTATTAAGCCCTCTGAGGCGAGTAAAGCGCCTTTGGTTAGTTTCGATGGCCAATTGGATCCTATTACGGGCAAGGCGGCGCAGGGCGATAGCTTCTGGACCCTTCTGGCCACCAATCCCGATGCACACTATACCAATCCGTCAGCCGAGTGCCTTCACTGGTTTATGTAGGTCACCAAAAACATAATGCGTATGTTTCCTTTTTCTAAATTATATTATTTTCCCTATAGCGCCAATATACCCAATGGCAAGATTGGCGAGGGCGAGGTATTAGCCGACTATCTGCCGCCATTCCCACCTAAAGGCTTGGGTTATCAGCGCATGGTTTTCGTGCTCTACAAGCAGCAATCCCGCCTGGATCTGAGCGCACACAAGCTGGACGCCAAGGACAACAATAACCTTGAGAAGCGCAGCTTTAGCACGTTGGACTTTTATCGTCAGCATCAGGATGACCTGACGCCGGCGGGTCTCGCCTTCTACCAGACCAATTGGGATGAATCCCTCACAAGCTTCTACCACAATGTTTTGCGTAAGCTATTGGCTATACAGATCTGCGCAATACATTCTAATTGTCGATTGCCATTTGCAGAACTTAAGGAGCCGGTCTACGAGTATGATTTCCCAAAGCCATATTTGGCAGACCAGAAGTTCTTTCCGCTCAAGCAGCCATTCAATCTGTACATGGACAAGCACCGTGACATCAAGGAGGTGAACAAGGAGTATCTGCAGCGCAAGCTTGCAAAAACGCATCCCTTCGATGGTCCGGAGCAGCCGCTTCGCTTTCCCAATGCCCATCCGCTACGCGATGTGCCTTCCTGGCTAAAGACGGAGATACGCAAACGTCGACTAGGCACTGGACGTGTGCAGGATTACTAAACAAAGCCATTTAGATATACACATACCTTTGCTAATCGTTGTATGATTTTTGGTTTTATTTTGTATTTTGGTTAACAAGTTGCTTTCATTCGCTGGAAGTACATGGAATTAAATCGAAGTACACGTTGCGCTCCTACAAGTAACATGCCAAGTGTATCGTGTATGAATTACATAATAGTTTAAATAAATTAGTACATAAATAATAGAGGAAAGCTAACTCTATACACGCATATATATATGCAGATATATATATATATATTTATTCTCCTATGGAATCGTTTAATGTGTTTAACAAATCTTTCGCTTGCAGGCGAAGGCAACTTCTTGCTCTCTCACTTCCGTTTTGTGATGCTCTAATTTAATTAGTTGTTAGCTGATTAACTTGTTTGATTTTTGGCACAGTTTAAATGTTAAATATTAAATGTTAATTGTTATATATATGTATATATGTTGCTCATAAGTACTCGTGTCACCTGCTTGGCCTTAGACTAAAACAATTTTGTAACGAAGTGATTTGTAGGTGCCTTAGGTCTGGGCCTTGCCGTAGGCGCCCACTGGGGGCCTATACATGGCCGGCAGCATAATCACCTGAGGCAGATTAAAAGCGTATTTGTGCTTGCCAATATTCTTAAAGACGTTGTCCATGCGGGTGCCCTCGCTGCAAGAAAGAGGACAATTCAATTAGGACGCGTGTGTCGAGGATGATGCAAAGATGGAATACAACCTGCGCATGGTGCTGAGTGCGTAGGGCACCTGCTTGGCGGGCAGCTGGAATTCGCGGACCAGGACACGACATTGCTCCAGTGTGACGGCCATGCCGGTGCGATCCTTGGCACTCTTGCAGGATGTAAAGCGTAGTCCGCCCATCAGGCGACACGCATCCTCGGCCAGGTGCAGAATCTTCACATTCTTCGACGCATTGGCGCGCAACTGCTGCTCCATATAGCCGAGCAGCGACTGTAGAGCATCCCACTCCGAGACGCTGGCATCCGCATCGGCAGCGCATGTCGCATTTAGCCCCAGCTTGCGGTAACGACTGAAGTACTGGCTCAGCCGCAGAAAGTTGTCCAGATTGGAGCGATGCTGCTCGTGCGTGTGCCCCAACGAGGCCTTCTCATTGATGCCAATGTTGAAGAAGACGGGCGTGATTTTGAAGCTAACCGTGTTGCGGCCACTCGTGGGCAGCACGTGCTCCGGCACTGGCAGCAGCACCTCCAGTGCCTGCCGCGAGCCCGTTATACGCGGCACGGGCTGCACCTCGTCCTGTGCGGCCGGCACCAGCGTAAAACTGACCGCCGACAAATCCTCAATAGCGATGCACATGTCGCTCCACATGTCCGTCTCAGCGCCATACAGCGACAGCAGCCCCTCGAAGTACGCCAGCGGCCCCAGCTCGCGCAGCAGCGACATATATGCCCCATCCAGCTCGCTGCCCCACAGCCGAAGCATCAAAGCGCTCACCAACGCCGTCAACTGTGTGGAGAAACAGCAAATATAAATATGAGTCTATGTACATATGGATATGTGTTCCTCCTCCTCCTCTCCACTTAATACATCTGTCAGACTATATAGTTTCTGGATATCCTTTTTCACCTAGCCTTGGCCTGCATACATAACTCTCAAAATGATCTTCAGAGATCCCTTCAGAGTTCTTCCATGACAGCTGGTCTGAATGAACTAACAGCTCGTCTTTATATATCCTCGAGCGTGCCACACTGAGTTGGCCACTTCGTCTGACTAGCTCTAGGAATAATTATACGGAAAATAAACTTAAAAGTTCCTTCTAAAGGTGAGAGCAGGACTAAAGGGGCACATCTTCTGGCTCTGATCTTAATGATCCCTGACAATTCCTACATCCACATAGGTGTTTCATGGAGCTCCCCATAATAAATATGTCTATCTAAAATTTGTCTTTTCTATATCCAGATGAGTAATGCTATGCCTTGAAGCCTGTGCCTGGCCTGAGGAACTCTTACCGCCTGCGAGAAGCAAACATCGCGTCGGTACATGATGCTCGCCTGGAGGCGGTTGCAGCGCACGTCCTGCTGCAGACGCTGCACGGAGTGCATGAGGCGCGCCGTCTTTAGCAGACGGTCCATGGCATGGCGCAGCTTGCGCATGCTGGGACGCAGCTCAGCCACCCAGTCGGTGGTAAGCGATAGATCCAGGCCGTCGGTGAACTTGTTGCCCTTTTTGGGCGGTGCAGTTGGTGGTGGCGGTGCGGCTGGTGGACCTGGCGCCAGATCAAGTTTGAGCTGCTGGGTCGGCTCCATAGGCGCCGCTATCACATCGGGCGCCTGCTGCGGCGCCACGGCGAAGCCTTCGCGCTTCAGCGGCACCTTGGGATGACGCAACCGTATGGCGGGACTGTCGCAGCGGCCGCAGAAGAACTTCAGCTTGCTGACCAGGCACATGACACTGGCCTCGATATTCAGCTGGGTAAGATCCAGTGGCTCCGGCTCCTCCGTGGGCCGATAATAGTTCGCCGACGGCGACGAGCTCATCAGCTTCGTGTCCAGAAAGCTGGCCGTCAATGGTCGCTTTCGCACTGCCTTCACCAACTCATCCAGATCGATCAGCTGCAGCGGCGCTGTCGACGATGATGACGATGTGGCAGCAACGCCATCCCAGTTGGGCGGCAGTGATTGATATGTGGCTTCGTCCGACAGCTCACTTGGAGGCTGTGGCACTGCTGCCGACTGTTGCTGACGCTGCCGTTGCCGCTGCTGCTGCTGCTGCTGCTGCTGCTCGAGGCTCCGCAGGTGCGCATTGTAGCACTTGACCACGTTCTGCAGCGAGTCAATCGCGTTGATGTCCAGCGAGCTCGAGGGCGACGTGTTGCTCGGATGCCAGCTGTTGGAGCGCATCAGCGGCTGGACGCCGCGCGGCCACAAGTCCGGCGGCGCCACAACGGGCGTAGCGAAGTCCTCCAGCTCCGGCGACTTTAGCTCCAGCGCGCTCAGCTGCTGCGTTATCTTGCGGAACGGCGACATCGGCTCCATTAGCTCGTTGTCCGGCTCCTCGATAATGCGATGTCGCTCTATGAACGTCACAGCCTCCTCGACGATGCTGGGCTCCCATATGTTGAGCAGCGTCTGCGTCTTGTTAATCATCTCATTGCACAGCGGCATCATGTCCTGGGCACTGCGCTGCGCCGCCAGCTGCAGCAGCTGCGACATCAGCTCCACGATTTCCTTGCGCAGCTGCTTGGTCGCCTGGACAGCATCGTTGGCCGCCTGCACCTTGCAGGCGTTGCTCTGCTCCAGCTTCCAGGCCTTGCTCTCCTGCAGCAGCCTATCGCAATGGAAGGACGAAGGGTTTAATACAAACTCGACATGCATGTATATACAATCTATAACATATCCCAGTTCCCTCTTCTTTTTCAAATTGAAATTCGAATGCCCTTCAAAATGGATCAACAGGGTATATATGCAGGGTAGACAGGCAGCAGAAGGCGTAAGCTTTAATGAACTTGATCGGAATCCACTTTCGGGACGATCTACCCCTGTCTGTCCGTCCCTATGAACGCAGTGAAAGCGAAGAGCTTCCTGTACGACTATATACTATTCTACTATATATTATGGACTATTCTACTATATTTTCCATGTTCTTGTTATCGCTTAGGAGTCGAATGCGGATGTGGCATGAGGCATGACTGTAAAGCCAGGAATACCCAGCGGTTCCCTATTATAAATGCAACATTTTCTTATATAGACTGTGAAGCCTATGAATATTACCAACTTTAGATGCATTCGGTTCCTTTTTCCAAAATTTAAAAGGAATTTCGAACTTTGACTAGACGCAAGTTAGTCTATAACTAACTACCCATAGTGAACGTGATGTGAGTGCCTAAGAACAATGGCAACTGCACTCTTCGCACAGGGTTCAGGGTATCTACTAGTCGGGCAATACCGACAAGAGCAGTCTGTCCTTTTCTACGTATGCCATTCCATTTTTCTGTCTCCTTTCAATAGATGATTCTCCCTCTTGGGCTTATGACCAGACTCTAGCACAATTTGCAGGCCAGCACTTGTAGTCTATTGATAAGAGAGAGCCTAGCTAGGCCTTCACGAGAAGGATAATGGGCATATGTTGAAGAGCAGAACTGGATATAGCTATATATTCGTGCAGACTCACTTGATGAGGCCGCCGCACTTGCGGCCTTTGGCATCGTGGCGTGTGAATGCGCCCACGGTGACAATGTCGAGTACGCCACGACGCTGCAGTGCATCATTTTGGGCCCACATGCGCTGCACGTGCAGGTTGACGGGCAGAAACTCGAGCGCCTCGTCCGTTTTGGCCGACGAGCGCTTGTAGTAGATGCCGTCGCGCATCAGCTGCTGGATGTTCTGCTTGGCCTGGGAGTAGTCCTTGAGCAGGCGCAAATGCTCCTCGAGCAGATTCATTTGGCGCCAACGCCACTCGCCGCTCAGCTCACCCATGCCGGAGATCTCCTGCAGCAGCTCCTTCTCCCGCTGTATCCAAATCGAGAGCAGTTGCTGTGGCACTGCGCAGCATAGACGCGATTCCAGCAGCGTCTCCAGCACGCTGATGTCAGCGCCCAGCGACGATTGCAGACGATACGAGTGCTGGCTGGGATTGGCACAAACGCGTCCGACTCCACACTGCTGGGGCACAAACAGGCGCACGCCGAGCTTCGGCGGCAGCGATTGAGTGCGTCGATGACCTGGAAACGAGGAGGCGACTGAGTGGCTAATGGATGCCAGTGAAGCACGCGGAATAGAGACTCACCCTTGTGCCTCACGTTGCAGTCTGTTGCCTGCTGGAAGAACTGGGTGCTAGAGCGTGGCGGCTGCGTTGGCTGCGTCAGGCCATTCACGGCTCTGTCCAGGCCGCTGGCTGGAGTCATTTCGATGGCCGCTTCTGGTGCCCAGGAGGACAGCGTTATCGAGCCACACTCGCCGCTTGGGCTGCAGAGCGGCAAGCGTAGCCGTGTCGTGTCCTGTATCACGCCCAGCGCCACCTCCGCATGGCCCAATGGCAGCGATGTCAGCGAGACGCGCTCCCGCACGTCGTGCACAGTGAAACGCAGACGCGTCGATGCCTGGAAGCCGGCGCTGCGCAAGAAGCGCATCGTGCACAGAAAGCTGGGCGCACGCGTGCGCTCCAGCAGCTCGGTGCGCGCATGCTGGCTCCATAGGTAATCCTCGCCCGGCTGCAGCACCGAGCAGATGACACGCGGATTCGGCGCTCGCCCGAAACTGTCCAGGGGCAGGCTATCACAGGAGATTGCCGTCTCGCAGATGGGCAGCTCTGAGAGCTCCGGATCTACAAGGCGAAGAGGAACAGAAAATGATACGGGTGCAAAATATGAGTTACGCCAAAATGGAGATGTTCTCTAGGCTCTACGAAAAATAAGAACAAATCAATTTGTTACATTTTTATAAACAAAATAAAGTTTATTCTTTGAATAAATTCCATTTCTCTCTCTCTCTCTCTCTCTCTGCCTCTCTACCTGTCTCTTTCGCAGTTAAATTCGTACTTTTCGCATTACATTTAAGGAATTGGAATATATTTCATCGAATATAGAACATATTTTAATCTATTCCAAAATTTGCTATAATGACGTTTCAAGCTCTAAGCTTAAAGCGCATCAAAAAGCATTCACGCTTGACAAATAAGAACTCAATATTCACGGCCTTTCTTTCTCGCTCAAACAAAGCTTTAAAGCTTAAATTTATATATATATATTTGTTCACTAATTTCATTATTAACTCTGCAGCTGTGATATATTAATGTGCTTTAGGCTCAACTAACAAGCTCTACTTAAGCACAGCTTTCTGAAGCTCTTGAGACTTTTACATAGAAACTTTTTTAAATTAATGCCAAAAGCTCATTTAAGATGCTCAACACTGCATTAAAAGCTTAAAGCTCAACAGCCCAATAGCTGTCCTGCACATATGGCTGTGTTTAGCTTGAAACAAACTTTAGGCAAGTGTCATTATAGCATATTTTATGGATTCTTTGGTTTCGTTTCTACGCGAGTCTTTTTATGGAGGTTATAAACTTCAAAAGGCAAAGGCAAAGGCAATGGGGAACACGAACTAGATTATTGGTTAACTACACACAAAATTTAGTTATAGCATGTATATGTGTGTATGTGTGTATGTGTTTCTGTGTGTGTGTGTAGATTAAGCATGTGCAATTCGTGCATAGGGCATCGAAATTTGATGGTTTACAAACTAAGAATTTAACATAGATCATGGCCAATGTCTTGGGACTATCCAGGTTAGTTGAAAATAAATCAAATAGACGCTAGGTAAGAAACAAACATAACAACTTCCAACAACTTGGGCCAGTTCAGCTTAGAACTGTATTAGATCACCTTCAAAGGCCGCCTCGACTGTGGCGATTGCTGCCGACGCTGGCCACGAATCGTGGCAGATTGTTGCTGGCAATGGCAGGCCCTGATCGATGCGATTGCCCATTATGGTTGAGTTGGAGCGCTTGACTGCGGTGGCTGCAGCAATCTGATCCTCCAGCTGTTTGATTTGCAAGTCGATCTGATGATTGGAGCACGCCTCTATGCAGCGCACCCAATCAAGCCGTTCCGCCGCGCTGTGCGTGACGATGCGTTGCGATGGGCTATCCTTAAAGTCTGCAAAAATGGGACATTTTTAGTTTAACTGTAAATCAAGTGAATGTTTAGAGAATGTGTCTAGAGCCTACCTAGATCGAACACATAGCCATCCGGTTCGGGCTCCTCATGATGTATGCACGGGCGACAGTTCTCCAGCACCAAAACGCCAGCAACTGAAGATCTTGGATTCTTGTCCTTCAGATAGAAAAGTAAATTTCCACGCAACTTGCACCAGCATTCCAGCTTAACTGTATTTGGATGACGGACAAGGCACAAGGCACAGGGCACAGGGCGCGCAAACAGAGAGCGCGAGCGAACGAGAGAGAAAGATGGCAAAAGTGCATAAGCAAATGGTGAATGGTGAATTGAAGCGTGTAGGATTAGCTACTGATCTATGGTGGGGTGGGTTTCTTCTATGTGTGCATGTGTGTGTGTGTGTGTGTCTGTCATAAGCGGAAATCTAAAGTAATCAGCAATGAAATGAATCTGTAATCGAGGTTAAACAAAGAACCCGCAACTGTAGCCAAAAATAAACGTATTCGTGTGTGTATGTGTGTGTGTGTGTATGTGGGGTGTATGGCTAGGGGCGATGAATGATTAAGACGTGCTTGAACTCACCATCGGTGCGCCAGAAAATACTTTCCTGGCGCTCTGTTAGAATTAGCAGACCCTCTTTGTCGAATCTGGTTAAGGTATTGGTTGCCAAGCTAGCCAGCTCCGATCTATTAAAGCGCATGCTTCTAGCCTAACTGGGCAACGGGCTACGGGTAACTGGCGACGATTGTTTCTGGTGCCTGGATGCGACAGCTGTTGGCGAATTGTAATTGAGAAATTATGCGTTTGTTTATATCAAATTGCGGCCATTAAATGTAGTTTGTGTTCTGTTCAGTGGAAAAAACTCAAGGTTGACAACGCAACACCCACACACACACACGAACACATTGAAATTCGCACACAGAGTTTGATTTAATTATAAAAATGACTCGAGTCAAGCCGTGACCAAAAGCGGGCACCTAATGGGCGGCAGGCACACCTTAGAATAACTGTAGTTGCACGTTTAATAATTGAATAAATAAATAAGAAAAGTAAAGACAGAAGACGCAAACGTCGAAGGCAAAGGCGAAAATGTAAAAGAAGAAAGCAGAGGCCAAAGCTATGGCCAGGGCGAGGGCGAGGGTGTTGCATGGGGGCAAGCAGGTGCCGCCGCACGTTCATGTTGTATGGCAAATGTACTACATACATACCTCTCTTCGCTCTCTACTCCGCGCTCGCGCTCGCTGTATATCTCTCTCTCTATCTCTGTAACACACACTCAAATTAGCACAGCTGACGTTGACAACAGCATCCCTGGCTAAGCGGCGCTTATGGACCAACGAGATTCCGAAATTGAATATTTAGCTCGTTGACCTGAAATTGCGTAGCTCTTTGCATGAACAAAATAATTTTGTTTGGCAATTCCACTAAGTTTTTATTGACTGCACAGTTGGCGACGCGTGGATAGCGTTATCAACTGGCGTATACATTGACAGTCGGTTTGCTGTTATCGTTTTAGAAGTAATTGGTTGCTTTTGAATTTCAACAATAAATATTCACATTACTACTTTTGTATTGACAATTTATTCCTTGACATTTTAGTTCGGTATTTGTTGTTCTTTACATTTGTTCTTTGGTTTGAGTGGATACAATGTTTATGTTACTGCTTCTGTAAAACCACTGTCAGCAGATGTTAGCTTACAGGGCTGGCAAACCTAATAGTTGGCTGTAGTTCACGATTAATTCCAGTTTTTATTCGATACAAATTTTTAAATTTTTTAGTGCGATGCTTTTCATTATCATACCCCTTAGAATTTACTTGAATTTTCTGAAAACCAATTAAAAAAAAGAGGAGTCAACTCGAAATGTATTATATTCGCCCTAAAGTTAATATGAATGTTTCATCCCGACATTTTTTTTTGTATAAAATGACAGGGTCAATCAGACCAGATGGACGACATCGATAAGTTAATCGATATTACTACTATCACTGATATGTCGCGGCCAACTTAATGCAACAGTCCTATGTGTTCGCAGCCAACTTTGCGCGCAAAACAGCTGTTTGCGTGGTGAATACGAATCGGCGATACTGTTTCACATTCGTAAAATGGCGTCGGAGGTAGCGGTTGAACAACAAGACCAAGAACTTGTAAGTGTACAAACAGAATTGTTGAACCAATTGGATACATACATATACGCTAACTACTAAATGACATACACGCCCTAATCTTGTGCAAAATGCTGTGTGTAAATGCAAGAGCGCAACAATAAACTTGGAAGTTGCGTGCGTGTTTTCAACTGTGCGTGTGTGTGGGTGTGCGTACACTTGTGTGAATGTGTGTCGTGTGTGAACGTGTAGAGCGTGTGTTGCAATGTGTTCCATACAAATCTGTTGCGGTATTTATCAATTGCAAAAATAATGTGATTTTTCCTAAAACTATGTACGCACGTGCTATTCGCATATATAAATCATAACAACATGCCCAACAGTACAACGCAAACGAAATAAATTCCTATACACTTGCCCACTGTGCTTATGGTGCTATCAGACAATAACAACACAACCAACAACAAAAAAAAAAAAAAAAAAAAAACAAAAACAACTGGCATGGGGAAGTGGAAGCTAGTGTGTATGCGTGTATGCCTGTATAAGCGTTTGTGTGTATGCGTGTGTGTGGTTTGTATTGCTTTGCGTTGTGTAGCAAGTGGTTGCAATAACAATAACAACAAACGCCACACGTTCATGCCATCGCGCTTGCTCTCACACTCTGCTACAACTACATAGACAATCAGTGCTGCGCGTTGCTGTTTAATTTCTCGCTCGCGCTGCATTTAGTAGGGAAAGTGATTTCCGTTGGCTGGTTTTCTTGTCGCTGCTGCATTTTACAGTGGGCTGTTAAGCCAAAAGTGTTCACAAAACCCGTTTACAGTAGGGTAAAAAATGTGTAGAAACATATTTGAGAGATCTTTGGTCTCTTTGCTGACTTGTTCTCCCTCTCTGCCTCCCTCTTTCTCTCTCTCCCTTACTTTCTTTCAACTGTGCCAACTTATTGCTCAAATTAGACTTCCTCCAGCTGACGCAAAGTTCATTGTTTGCTTAATCGCAGCAGCGACGAGCAGTGAGGCGCCAGTTACTGTGGCTGGAATGGCCAGTGTTGCTGACCTTGCAGGGAGCTGCTTGAAATTCCGATATTCACGATATTCACGCCACACACACACACAAACACACACAAACGCACACGAATGCACACTCTTTCTCACACACGCTCTACCTGGTCCAGGGGCAGACAAATTTTGGTGTATTATTGATGCGCATTTGTTTATTTATTATTTACTTATTTTGCGAGGGCGCCAGCGCGTCCATTTCGGTTCAGTTCCCTTGAAGTGCCTCCAAATTGATTCCATTTCGTTAGAATTTCTTTGGGTTGTCTGTAAATCTGTCCAATTTCAAAGTAAAATCTTTGCATTTTGCTACGCAATTCCCCCACTTATTTCGCGAATTTGTTTAGAGCGCATTTCATTCATTCATTTTCATTTATTCTCTATTCAATTTGTTTATCCGCTCGTTTGTATACCCTACCCCATTCTCGTATATGCATTCGAGTATAAACTCTTTTCCCCGAAATCAATCTTCAAACTTGATTTGATATCTATTCGTTTGTTTTTTATACACAAACATTCACATCACATCCACACACACACATGCATATCTTCACTGTTATTTATTTATATAAAAAGCCCAATTGGAGCAATTAGCGGAGTGAACAGAACAGAGCCTATGCAAATGGATTGCTTACGCTTGATATTCCAGTGTCCAAACACATCGTGTCGTTGTTATAAACTTCTTGTTTCTCTATTGTTGACATGAATATTGTTCATAGAATTCGTCTAAACATCTTGTTTAATGCATAGACTGTGCAAGATCAATTACTCCGAGTGTCCAGATAGTTCGCATTTATATAGATTTGCATTGCGATTTTCACAGCCTTGAGCTATGGAGGTTATTCAAGAAGATTGCTTCAGCCCTGTTAAAGAATATAGATACGTATATATTATTCTATATATATATTCTTGATCAGTTAGAATCTTATCTTGGCAAAAGAAAAACAAGACTGAAGCCATTCATTCATTATATATCGATGAGTTTTTCCAGACAGACCTAAACTTAGCGACCGACCTCATCAATGAGATAATGAATTCGATTCGAATTGCAGAGCTTCAGTGGTCTTGGAGAAAGACTGATAATGAACATTGCAATTATTATTACAAGAATAATTATATTACAGTGCCTGCCGCGACTAGGTGTCCATGTTGCCGAGCTTCATTTGCCCACTGATGACCACTAAATCGATATATTAACAGGTTTACTACGTTGTAGATTAGCCTAAAGGATCTTCATCATTAGAGCTTGTCAAGTTCGATGTGCATGTGATCGACTGGGCTACGTCCTGCAGCAGTTGGGAAATTTTCTGGCATCTTGTGGTACGCTATGCTACATTTATTGCAGAGGCTGTCGTCCTTTCGGTCTGGTCTGTAGGCGGCAAATGAAAAATCTTCTATTTTACGCAATAAATATATTGATAATGAGGCAGGTGCATTGTCAGTCAGACCAGTGGGCTTCACTGCAATTGCTGTCTCACACCTTGGATTAATTATTACGCAATAGCTTTCATGCTGGAGTAACGTGCTCCAGGTCCCAGTTGTTCCGTTGTAATAACTTTTCAACGAAAACACAGACTCCTTTCCAAGCATTTTCCTTTACACATTTGCTCCATTGGAATCCCCACATTGACTACCAATAGTTTCTGCCAGGTCTGCCCCGCTTCCATTCAGCTGTCGCAGCAGAAACATGATAATATGATCGTAATGATGCTAATTATTTAACTACCAATCTTTAGTTTGACAACCACAAGGTTGATGTATATATATATATATATATATATATATATTGATTCATATTCGCATTCATATTTATGTACGTGTTTTTCTATTTCGCAATTTGTGTCTATTTTGTGTTCATAATTGACTTCGCTTGAGTTGCAATTGTATCGCTGAGGCTCGATGCATAAATCGAATTGTTCATAAAAAAACGCTAGACAGCAGCAAACTATTTACATATATAAATGAGTGTGTGTGTGTGTGTGTGAGTGTGTGTAGTTATGAAATATTATTTGCCATTGCAGTTGAGTTGCATTTGCTTGTTGTTTATCCTTGTGCACGGACTCTGAACCCCAAATGCAGCCACACAATGGGGCAGCCAGAAAAAGTACAATAACCTTTTTGGCACCCAGCGTGAGGGTGTGCGCCACTAAGGGTGCCAGTTGGGCTGCGGGCGGGGGTAGTTTGAGTCGTAATGCTCGTTTTATTTAATGTCTACCCATTTAAAGTGGCTGAATGGGAGTATATTAGTTAATTTTTAAGGGAGCGTAAAGTCTGCACTACTTCTTTGTTATTTTGCAATAATGAAAATCGATAAATATCGAATTTTATTTGCAGCGTCATATTTTATGATCCAGAGAAAAACAGTTTGATTAGTGATCTGTCTTCACAATAAAACTATAGTAGGTAAAAAGTAGAGGGTATGTTTTAGTCGATCAATGTCAGTTTCGTTCACATATCACGAGCAAGCTGTGCTTTCTGACCGATCGACTGGCTGACTGACGAACGGATTAGTCACTTATATTGCAGCGAGATTAAGGGTATTTTTCAGTCGGCTAATCCAAGCTCACTCGGCTTAGCACGTTGCTGTAACTGTTAATCATTTGCTGGACTTTGGCTGATTGATTGGTTGACTGACTGACCAATACACTAAATGATTGACTTAGTGACTGAATGACTGATAGATCGACGAACTGATTGATTGTTTGACTAGCTGTCTGAGCAGTTAAGTGAGTAATTAATTTATTGAATAAGCGATTGATTGACTGATAAATTGACTGAGTATTAAAATTTACTGACTGATGGATCAGTAGATAGACTGAGTGATAAAATGATGTATTGATTGACTGACTGAATGAGTGACTGACTGACTGAGCCATTGAGTGATTGATTCATGGATTGGTTGAGGGACAAACTAAATAATTGAGTTACTCGTTCCCAGATCAGTTAACGAACCAGTTCAGTTAATCATTAACAATCATTCATGAACTAGAGTTCCGAGCTTCTGTTCGCGAAATCTTTAATTTGAAGCGAACTGTATTTGGAGTGCATATGCCCCTTTTTGGTGTGAACCAGGGTATCAAAATGAAAATGCGATGTGCAACAAACGCTCTCGCTCACATACATATATGTATTGTAATGTATGCATGTATGTGTGTGTATGTATGTATATAAGTATGAGCATATGCATGTGTGTAGTTGAAAAATGGGTCAGCGCGCTGCGGTCTGTCGCTATCACTAGCAAATGGACACACATACATGCAATGGCAACAACAATGCCAGACACACACGCGCACACACACACACAGAGTAGGCAACGAAATAGAGCAACAACCACCCGACAAAGACCTCTCGTTGCGATTTGGTGCCTAAAAACCCCAAACCGAAAAAAGACCAAAAAAAACCCATTCCGGGACTTTTTCACTCTTTAGAAAGAGGAGAACGACGGGGGGATGGGTGGGTGGTTGTGGGATGCTTAAGATGATGCGCTCAGCGCTTCGCTCCTATCGCCCAGAGCTTAAATGCCTAGTCATTCCAGCTAGGCGAAGTATTCAAAAATAAACAAGCGAAAATAACAGCAAAAAATAACAAAAATATAAAATGCAAATTAACGGCTATCGACAACGAATGCCGTAATACTCTATAAGCTTAAGGCAGAATTTTTTGATTTATTTTTCAGAATTCATTTGAAAATCGCTAGAAAATATATACAGTAGGGAGCAAAAGTGTTTCCATAGTTGACACTTTCAACTTTGTGAGTCGATAATTTCTAAACGAATGAAGCAAATCAAAAAAACTTTTTTTTCCAATAATATGTATTTAATTCTTAACAAATTGCCGTATATAACAAAAACAGAAGTTAATCAGTAAAATATTCAAACGAAGAAAACTGAAACAAAACGCATGTGTACAATTTTGCACCTTCAGTGAAAAAAATTAAATATGATTCTAAATCAATATTTTGTCCACAGGCCCTTATTAGCTATTACA